AGCAGGAATTTCTCTTTCTTCCTTTCAAGTTCAGTGTTGTTCTACTCTTCTTGCTCTTCTATGTACCTGTTGGGTTTTTTTAGTTAGTGGTTAATTACTGATTTAGTACCACAGAGCGATTGCAGACACGGGATTCGATGTGCACTGATACCAAACTGATCCTAGGGAAGGCTCCGTTAAGCTCTGTAGTTTTGAGAGGGCCTTGTTAAATGGTTTAGATTTGTTCTCCGTTACTCTGCTTTGAGACACTGACTGCTCAAGTGTAGAGGCGGTAATTATTACTAATGAAATGATGTCTTGTGTTACAGCTGCAAAACAGTTTAGATAAAAAAGAGAAGAAGAAGAAGAAAGAGAAGAAGAAGAAGCACAAGAAACATCGGCGTCGCAGTTCGAGCAGTGAGAGTGACAGCAGCGAGGAGGAGCGAAGCAAGAATAAGTATGTTCTGAGGTCTTGTAGTAAAAATACCTTGCTTCCTGTTATCTGTTTTGCACATCTTCAAATCCTCTGTCTTATCTTTCTAATGAATTGGCTTAAGTGTTTCTGTATCGTTACTTTGTTTTTGCATAATTGTTTCTATGACATACTGATGTTAAAAAATATCCTTGCATTTCGTCTGCTTCAAAAGTACTTTTCTGTTTTCTCTTTAGGTCTCAGAAGAGGATGAACAGTTCCTCCTGGAAACCTGCTCCTTCCAAAGTGCCAGGATATGGCTTACAGGTAAGGGTGTGTGTTTCACACAGCTCTTCAGCAGCAATGCCCTGAGTCAGGGAGGAGCAGGATTTCTGGCAGTTTGCTGCAAGGCTGCTTCACCAGCTGGAAGAGGATTATGAGGGGAGATGCAATATAAAAAAGTTCAGATTCACTTTGGAGCCATCTAAGCCTTGAAACTGAAGTTGTTCAGATCCCAGTAGGACTTTTGTCTGCTCTGAATTCAAGTTTTATTTAGTTTCTCTTCAGTCAAATGTCCGTTCAAATGCTCTGCTTGGGTGTCTTGGCACTTTGGTTTACTGAACATCATAGAGAAATTCTTTCTAGGCACAGGTGTTAATAAGAGCCTAGGAAGTGAGATAAATAAACACAAATCATCCTGCACTTAGCCTAGTCTGAGGTCTCCTCTGTGGCCTTGCATTGTTGTGCTCTCACAAGGCATCTCCTGAAAAACATTTCTGAATTCCAGGTTAGAAACTCGGAGCAGAGCCACAGGTCCCGGAGCTCTCCAGCTGCCGGCCAGGAGAGGGCTCCCCACAAACACCGGGATCGCTCCAGGTCCAGGAGCCGCTCCAGGAGCCACTCCCGCTCCCCTCAGAGACGCTCCAGCAAGAAGAGTTCAGAACAGGCTGGGTGCAGGGGGTCGAGATCTCCTCCTAGGCATAGCAAACAGTGAGTATGGCTAACCTGGGTGATGTAAACCAAGGGCTGCTGGTGAGGGCATTCTCTGGAATCAAAGTCCCTCTTATTCAGTCTCTTTCTACCACTTTACCGTTCTGACCACATTATTGCTCAGTTCTGGGTGTAGTGGCAGGTATCTTCTAGGTACACCCGTTGGGTACTGGTTGTGACTGTGCTTTATTTGGGCTAACGATTCTCTTTAAAAGATATGGCTGTTGAATTCTCTTTACTAAACGCTGACAAAATCAGGTACCAGGTATTTCTTGTTTGCTGGTGAAATAATTAAAACCGGAAACTTTTGATATATTGAGAGTCATTAGAACTTGTTTTCAAAGTGGACAGGTAACAGCCCTGCAGTTACAGCAGGCGTCTTGGTTTCAGAATATATACAAAAAGACCTAGGGGAAGTTTAGAGTTGTGATAAACGTTCATCTGTGCTAAAAAGAGGGTGTTTCTGGGTTACAGACACAGCAATCGGGAGGAGAAAGGCAGAGCGAGAAGCCCTTCCCCTAAAAAGAGCTATCGCCGGCAGCACGCCCCGGGTTACACAAGGTAAGCAAAGGTCTTGTTCCTGTGCTGTTGGATGGAAGTTGCTCTGGTGCTGGTGAACCAGCTGGGTGTAATCTGTGAAGCAAATTGTATTCTGTTAGCTAAAATAAATGGGATCGGATGTCCAGAAAGTCAGGCACAGAGTCCTAAAGTGCTCGGTTTGGTGCTCCTGAGCTCGATCGTTGGTTAACGCCTTGGACAGCTTCCCAAGCCGCCTCACGTGGCTGCTGGTTGTCCGTGTGTCTGGCGTCGCTGCGCGAGGCAGTAATGTGAAGTCAGTCTTTTGTCCCCTGCACTGTTAATTAGAAGCATTCGGTTTCACTGTCATCAGGAAAATATGACCCTGACACATCATCTTACCACTCAATTAAAACCAGGAAGGCTGAAAAGAGGAGGAGAGTCCCGAGGGTGTGGTAAAGCAGAAATTGAGATGTGTACTTGCAAGCTTTGGTGATTTGCTCCCAAAGAAAAAAAAACCACGCTGAACAGCCCTCATTTGGGGCATTGTAAATCACCTTAAAGAATGGAAAGCGAGAGAGGGGTGGGGCCCAGCATGTTCTTGATTTACAGCAGTGGTGGTTTCTACACAACTAGGAAGATCTCTCCAGAGGAACTAGAGCGTAAACGCCAGGAAATGATGGAAAATGCCAAGTGGAGGGAAGAGGAGAGAGCAAACAACCTCAGGAAACATCGAAAGGAGGAGGAGCTGGAGCGGGAACTGCAGAAACTCGACGCCAGAGATGGGAAGTTCTTCAAGTGAGTGTCTTCCATGATCTGCTTTTTCATTCGAGGGAAACACAGGCCACTGCTTCACAAGAATGAGAGGTGGCCTCGATGTCTGAGGTGTTTCAGATTATGGTACAAGATCCATCTCTGCTGGGTGATTTCCACTGTTCCCACATTCTTTTCTTAACTGAAAAGATGGCTCTTTCTATGGTGCCTTTGGTAGTCGGACTCAGAAGCTGGTGATCAGTTATTTTTGCCATCCTGTTGAAAGGCCTAGTCATGTTTTACATGCAGATACCAAGAAGTTCTCTGCTTTTAGGAGCTTACAACAGTTCTGAGCCTGCAAATCCACCAGGAGTCTGTGCCAAGAGCTTGCAGGACTGAAATGTGTGCCCAACAAGAAATAAGACTGTTTATAGTTTCTGAACGCGGGTGGTGACTCAGTCCCTTGTGCACATGGCAAAGGAAGTTGAAGTGGCACAGGGCCTTCTAGAAAGTGTGGTGGTGTGGGAGAGAGACTCTGTGGCAGTGCTGTGTATCTCGGAGTCGCTGCCATGCTCCAGGCTCTATAAATTGATCAGAGGAGAACATTCACTTAAGTCCTGAAGCTGCCTAGAGCCAGGATCACGTAAAAGGGTGGCTTAAAATCACAAGAGATTTTCTCCATGAGCCACTTCTCTTGTGGAGAGGGATTTTTGTGCGTTTCCTTGCACAGAAGAAACTGGTTGAGCTGGCAAACCATGTTTGTTGGCCTCTTGTTTGAAGAGGGAGATGGGGACGAGGAGCAGTGTGATCATTAATGTTTATAAATATTTAAAGGGTGAGTGTCACGAGGATGGAGCCAGGTTCTTCTCGGTGACAAAAAATGATAGGACAAGGGGTAACGGACACAAACTGGAACACAGGAGGTTCCACTGAAATTGGAGAAGAAACTTCTTCTCAGTGAGGGTGACAGAGCACTGGCCCAGGCTGCCCAGAGAGGTTGTGGAGTCTCCTTCTCTGCAGACATTCAAAACCCGCCTGGACGCCTTCCTGTGCAACCTCATCTGGGTGTTCCTGCTCCGGCAGGGGGATTGGACTGGATGAGCTTTGGAGGTCCCTTCCAATCCCTAACGCTCTGGGATTCTGTGATTAGTAAAGGAAAGCGAATGGCACAAGGATCCCTGCTCTCTGCTGTAGCTGATGTAGTCGTTTACAGTGGGAGCTCTGACATTTGGGTTCCCAAAGGACTGCCCTTGGTTCAGGAACACATCGCGTTTCCCTCATTTGCTTCACAGAAAGCAACCGAGTCCCCTGTGACCGATGCGTTTGTAATTAACTGTTCGTTCTGTTTGGCAGATGGAGGAGACCTGAGAGCTCCTGAAAGTGCATTTCTGAGCACTGGCCTTAAATAAGGCATTGAATCTGTTTCAAGCCAAACCAAAAACCATTCAGTTCTTTCAGTGCAGACTTTAATACAAAATAATTTGCTGGTTTCTGTGTTAGATGAATTGAGGTTGATGACTTGGGGATGGTGAATCCTGCTAGAAATGGTGTGGTGTTTGGAAAAGGATTCTGATTTCTTTCTTTGGTTCAATTTCCTGCAGTCGTTTGAAACTAGAGAGTGCCTCTACTTCCACCCTGGAGGACCGGGTGAAACGCAACATCCACTCCCTTCAGAGAACCCCCGCTGCCTTGGAAAAAAACTTCATGCAGAGATGAAACTTGCTCTTCCTCCGCCGCTGTGCGGCAGTTGAACGGACGCTGATTCCCAAAGGTGAGAGCCCTCCAGCACAGACTCGCTGCTCTCCACAGGAGCACTTTCCATCTCCCAAAGAGATGCTGGATTTCTGCACCGCAGCCCACAGCGTGTCTTGGACTGTGGCGTTGTGGCTACGTTTGTAACGAGTACGACCTTGCAAGCAAACCTTTGCTGGAGAACTCGTGAGCCTTTGTATTCTATTTTTGATGTGTTGCCAGATCTTTTCCTTTTCTCTCCACCTTGACCAGTATCATTTTTTTTGTATCGTGTTATTACCAAATTACACCAGGTGGTGACTGCTTTCTATGTTGGGCAGATTGTCCGAGCTCTTTATATAATGGAGCAAAAGTTCTATTTTTGTTAGTCCTTAAAAAGCGGAGCAAGCCAAACTCCTGTGTGAGTTGATTTCATGGAATTGGATAAAGCTACGTGAGTAAGGGACAAAATCTTGTTCGATACCATCACCATTGCAGGTGTGGGTAAAATTCTGTTCAGTTCTGTCACCATTTTGGGGTGGGTTTGGGGGTGCTGTTAGATGAACCCGTGCCATTCCTGTAGCCGTTACTTGGTTGCTGACAGATTTGAATGGTTTTGACCCAAAGGAAACTGCTTTGAAATGAGGAAATGAGCAGAGCATAGCCGATACAGCTATTTCTCTGGGATTTTGTAATGTAAGTACTGTGTATATGTACAGCAGTGTAGATTTCCTTTTTTTAAATTAAGAAACTTTGCTGTCACTTTTAAATGTTCTTTGTGGCTTTTGGGGGTGGGAGGGGCAGGGGTGACACTCCCTGGCAAAGGGAAAGGCCCGGGGGGCTGTAACCGGTTGTCGCAGCC